CCAGCCCTGGAGCATGTGGCTGGTGCCCTAACCACTGAGCTGTGGGTGCCTAGCCAGTATTGGCTATTGCTACTATAAACAAATTCTAAAATGTTTCTTTTGTTGCAAGTTTATGCTATAGTTAAGATAATTATGAACTGCAGTATCTGTGGAGTCTCTTAAATATGTAGTTCTGTTTCTAGTTGGGTATGTGTGTGTTTGCCTTTTGATGTCCTCTCTTATCCGTAGTTAACAGATTTTAGATTTGTCTGTAGGTTGATTGTGTAACAGTTGTAAGGACATGAACTTTTAATAACCTTTGGGTATTTATTTATTGAATAAAAATCTCAACTTAATGATCATGCTTTATGGTTTGTGTTTAGTAAAACATGCTAAGAAAAATGCAGCAGAAAAAAAAAAGAAAAATGCAACAGAGGGTTTATCAGAGAGCATTTTTCTGCAAGGCCTTTGTGCTTCCATTATTAAATGATAAATTAGCTTTTGTTATTATGTGTGATAGACTCAAAATGGCTATAGAATTCATACTGATCCTTATGAAATGGGTATATAAGGAATGGTTTAGCTTTTAAAATCATTTTTATATCATACTGAGTATCATTTAAAGCATGAAATTATTTTGAACTTTTATTCATTGTTCTCTCTCTGATTTTTTTTTTTATTTTTTTGGAAATAGGTCTCACTCAGATGTCATGAGGTTGAGTGCTGTGGTGTCATAGCTCATAGCAACTTTAAACTTTTGGGATGAAGCTATGCTCTTGCCTGGGGCCTCTCCAGCTGGGACTGCAGGTGCACACTACAATGCCCAGCTGGTTTTTTGTTTTTTTTTTTTTTTAAGAGATGGAGTTTCTCTCCTGAGCTTAGGCAATCCACTTGCCTTGGCCTCCCAAAGTGCTAGGATTATAGGTGTAAGCCATTGCCCTAGCCCTGTCTCTGATTTTTTAATGGATCATGCAGCCTCTGTTGAAGATTACATCCTCAGGGTGACTAGCCTTTTTTAAAATTTTTTTTTATTTTTGAGACAGAGTTTCACTGTGTTGCCTTCGACAGAGTGCCATGGCACGATAGCTTACAGCAACATCAAACTCTTGGGTTTGAGCGATTTTCTTGCCTCAGCCTCCCAAATAGCGGAGATTACAGGTGCCTGCCATAATGCCCGGCTATTGTTGTTGTTGTTGTTGTTGTTGTTGTTTTTGTCTTTGTTTAGCAGGCCCCGGACTGGCTTTGAACCCACCAGCCCGGGTGCAAGTGGCC